CTCTCCTGCTGATGTTCAGGTGTATATCAGTATGTAGGGTCTCTACTTTAAAGAGTCCTCTCCTGCTGATGTTCAGGTGTATATCAGTATGTAGTGTCTCTACTTTAAAGAGTCCTCTCCTGCTGATGTTCAGGTGTATATCAGTATGTAGTGTCTCTACTTTAAAGAGTCCTCTCCTGCTGATGTTCAGGTGTATATCAGTATGTAGTGTCTCTACTTTAAAGAGTCCTCTCCTGTTCAATAATAATAATCAGTCATCTCAGATACACAGAAATGACTGTCTTTATAGCACGATAATGCATCAATAGCATCACTTTATATCACAATAAATGCGTACAGAATCATTCACATTCTTTTGACCAAACACATGGAGATGCACATTAAGTCCCATTAAGTCTAACGGTACTGCAATTACAACACTAGGGCAAAAGTACCCCAACTATTACCCCAAAGATTCAGCTGCAGACAAAATGAATTATACGGTTTTAAGCCTCAATAAATACTTTATCTACAGGTGGAAACGGCAGCATCTTAAACATTAAAATAACCTTATGCTGTGTCTCAATGACTTACCGATACACTTCTCTTGAATTTCAAATCGCAATTCCAATTTATTACAGGCTGCCTATTTAACCTTATTTCATTTTAATTTAATGGTTTATTTGACAGGGACATTGCACATTAATGAACACTTAAAACAAAAAATGCTTCAAGTGTAAATATGCCGGATTTGAGCTACTTTCCATCCGTAGTCCCTCACATCAAACATTAAGAACATGACATTTACAAACATAGCAAACAGAAATACATGATATGCAGAAAGAGCAAGAGCAGCATACACACGTATTTATCACATGGCAGTACAATGTAGCAGCAACGACATAAATGAAGTTAAAATGTTAACATAGGTTCAGGAGCATGGCCACGCCTAAAACTCCGCCTCGAACCACGGCCACCCCTATTTATATCCGACAAAACTTCCGGCCACTGCTCGTCTCCATCCTTTCAACCCACCCTCCCTCTCCCTTTCTACCCATACAGTCCCCTTTCCAACTCACACCGAGCGATACATCCATCACATCCTCTGCCCGTCACCATTCATATTTAAACGGTGCATGTTTATATACCGCGTATACTAACACCTTAATTCCAGGTACCGTCTGGGGGGCCCGTAATCAGCCCACGCAGATCATGCCGGAGACGGAACCCCCACTCTGAGTCTCCCACTGCACGGACCATAGCTCGTCCTCCCAGATCATCCCTTCACCCCCCTCACATCATTCACATGTTACTTCAAAAAACGTACAAACGTCACATTGTTGTGGTGTGGTTCCTGCTAGTGAATAAGTGCACAAGCAGATACCCCTGTGTTAAAGTGCATTTAGCGGTGATTGCACGTCTGGTTGTTTCTCAAACATTCTCTGAGTTGACCTTTGAAGCTTTTGAGAGTGGGACAATCCCGTGTCTCAGTTGGGAGGCTGTTCCACAAAGAGCTGCCTTTAATGGAGAGGACATTTTGTCCAAAAGTGGTCCGTCTGCGGTCGACTTCACAGTGTCCTCTGGTTTCTGACCTAGTGCAGCGTCCAGTGTGTTTTCTGTGGATGAATTCCCCTAGGGGGGGGGGGCATCAGGGCCGTCCCTTGGCATACGCAGTATAGGCGAATGCTAAGGGCGCATCAACCCATCGGGGGCGCCGAAAATTGGGGAGAAAAAAGAAGAAAAAAAAGTTAGAAATGAAAAGAATATTTTTTGGGAAATTTCATAACAACACAATTTCCCAATTTTGGATCAACAAAGTACATCTTATTATCTTATACTAACAGAACTACGCATATATTGCGTACAGCGCCCATAAACTATGGCGCACTCCCCCCACAAATCAAGTTGAACTGCCCCAGTAAAAACCAGAGGTTTATGTGAAATTGTTCTTTTTTTTTAAAATAATGGTTTTAGTGTGCAATTATAGGTTTACATTTTGAATTTGTGTTAATTTAAAAATAAATCTAACTCCCAAAAAACGTACACAGCTTCTGTGTGCTTTTATTAACATTGGAATTTACTGTGTGAGCGGCCGCGGGGGGAGAGCTTTAGAGAGCTCTCTCCTGAAAGACTGAGCGGCTCTGATAACCTCAGCTCAGTGAGGTAAAGGCACACCTTTATATGATCATTATAGTTATAAAAAAAATAAGAGAATAGGTGAAAAACAGGTATAAAATACTATATGACAGTACAAAAAAGTTGTTATTAATAAACAAGAATACAGTTTGAAAGGGGAGTGATTTGTAAAATATCCATAAAGAAAAAGAAAATCTGCCTACAGTTCTGTTTCATATGGGTGTTGAGAGATGTATCTATAGAGCTCGTCATGTTGCTCTCAAAGTGCACCAGATTGATGCTCAACTTCAATATAAAAAAAAATCATTAAATCATGTCCACATGGATAGGATACTAAATACAGTTGCACACATCTTGTGTCCATATCTTTCTGTTTTGGTGGTCATGCCACAACCGTGCACGTGCATGCATACGGGAGTGTCTGCATTTGGGGGGGGGGCGCCAGCTAAAATCTTGCCTAGGGCAGAAAATTGGTCAGGGCCGGCCCTGGGGGGCAGTCCATGTAAACATGTATTAAAAGAACATACTTTTAAAAGACTTTAAATGGTCAAAACTCAAGAAATGGTGTTTCTCCAGGATGGTACAGTGGTGGTTTGAATGTGGCTTTCTGTCAAACACCTGGATAGCTCTCTTGAACAGCTGTTCTATGGGTTTCAGGTTTGTGGCTCAAGCAAACGACCAGTTTGTCAAACAGTATTCAATGTGGGATGGAATCAGTGGAGGTGTGACTTTGCAGATTTGACAGTTAAGAAAGGTCTGATTTGTTTAAAATGTTGCAAGTTGAATTTAACGGTATTTGATACTTTCTTATGTTTCTTAAAAGTCAAGTTTGAGTCCAGTACGACTCCAAGATACTTGAACTGGGAGACTAGTTCTATTTCTGCTCCGTTAAAAAACACGTTGGATCCTTCGATTTTGACTGGTCGTTCACTGAACATCATGCATACTGTTTTTTGTACGTTTAACTGTAAGCATATGTTGTTCAGCCAGTGTTGAGTGGTTTCATTTTGACACCAGTTTAGTGATATATTACCAACAAAAGTAAAACAACCCACATATTTTAACTGTTGTTTTGTAAGTGCTGTGTGTCTTGTCAAATGTTCATATAGTCATTTAAATAATATATATAGATTATGTCTTATACTCTCATTGCCTTTTACTCGTTTAAATAGTATGTGTAGTCCTATATGTGTTTAACAGAGACATATGTTAAGGATGTACTTTTCAGGAAGTGTAAAAGGGGGATTTACAAATGGTTAAGAACTGGGGGATGTTATGGTTTAATGATGGGGATGTTTAGATAATGTCTAAAATAATTGATGGGTGGGACCAGTTGGCTATTTTCTCTCTACTAGAGTGTGACTGTAAGCCATATTATCCTCTGAGGATGAAGTGGCTCTGTTCCTGCATTTGAGATCGTTTTCAATTGTATTTAGACTTCCTTTATTACTTCCATTTATCAGTTTCTCTTAAGGGAATTAGAATTTCCTCCACACTTGGTTCCCTTGAACTGCAATCACGACTGATCGGCTAACTCCCGCTGCTTAGCCAAGATGGCAATCGTGTGAGAAATGTCCAGCATTGCTAAATCTAACGAATCAATGTTGCCATACTTTGTGTTGTGATGCAAGGCAAGGCAAGTTTATTTAAATAGCACATTTCAACACAAGGCAATTCAAAGTGCTTTACGAAAATGAAAGACATCAAGAGCATTACGAAACATATTATGAAATGACATTTAAAAACACTCATTAAGTTACAGAGCAGTGTGAGATACTGACTCAATCATTGCTCACTTTTTAACAGAAATAGTTTTCTATGACCTCCCTTTCTTTCTACTTTCTTATTTAACTTATCCTTTAGTTATTTCCAGTGGCGGCGCCAGGGTATGGCTGGGGTAGGCTACAGCCATACCAAGAAATAGCTTAGCCCCACCTTAGCCCCACCATGTAAGCAAAATAAAGTCTGCCAACTCGCGCGGAGTAAATTGCACAGACAGCAGTTAGTAAGATTGATTTCAGTAGCCACTTGTCTGGAAATACCGAAGACTAGAAACGGTTTTGAAAACTTTTGTCACGTAGTGATCGTCTTCTCAATAGAACATCTTTGATAATGTCTTCTGGCCAATCAGAATCAAGATAACGGCGTGGTGTTGTTGCAGGAAGTCCCGACGGAGAATACTTTTGCTGTAGTACGTATCAACACGTAATGAAATAAGACCCCACGGTTTGGTGATTGATAGGTGCGTGGGCTGTCTTTCATGTTGACACACAGAACAATGGGGGCTATCCACCCTTATCCACAATGTAAAGTAATTCACAGCCTCTTCCCTCTTCTCTCTGTGACGAGCAGCAGGTTCAGCTTTCAGAACAAAGTAACACAAAACTAAAATGGCATTCATTTTTTAAATGTGTAGTAATAGATGTATTTATTTTTCATCTCAAGAGAGTACCAGAATGTGTATTTTATGTTAGTATTTAAAAAAATCTCCTGGGGGAGAATCCCCCCAGACCCCCCTACAGGGGTTGGGTTGGATTAAGTCCAGAAATAATCTAAACCTCACGCGTGGCGTTTCACTGTCAAGGGGAGCGTGTATGTAATTACATTGCAACCATAGCCCTATCATAGATTACCCAACACAAATACTCTGGCGCCGCCACTGGTTATTTAAAGCGTGTCATGCTAAACGAACCCCCCTTTGGAATATTCTAATCCGACCCCATGGTACCTTTTAGTTTTCGTCGAAACTATTCCTCTTTTTTTTTTTTTTTAAATGCACATAGTTAAGTTTACCTTGTCTTTCTAGGACTTTTTTGGTATCCACTATGCACTCAAAAAAGCAAATGAAGTACAGAAAATCGTGATTTGAGACACAGCTTCAGTTTCTATTTAGGATCACTGCTTTCGTCTTCCTGCTTGAGTTTGCTTCTCCTCTGGATCACGTCCTCCTGTTCGTTGAGCGGCTCGCTGCTCTCATGCGACGAGTCCTTCATCACGCTGTAGTAAATCGGCGCGTTGAACTCCACCGCCTTCTCCTGCCGCCTCCAGCTGCACTTGCAGAGCTTTTTAAACGCCATGCGAAACTTCTGCGACATGAGGTTGTAGATGATGGGGTTGATGGCGCTGTTGGTGTAGATGCATATGCGGCAGAAGAGCAGGAACCAGGTGTTGTGGTACGGCGGGTCGAGGAAGGAGTTCACCACCACCAGAGTCCGGTACGGCATCCAGAGCAGGGCGAAGAGGACCACCACCACCGCCAGCATCTTCGTGATCTGATGCAGAGGAAAGGTCGGGACGTGATTTTGAGGCAAGTATGTTAACTGTGTTTTCCATCATGCCATGGTGTTAGAAAAATGTTCAACAACAACAGTCTAAAGATATGGGAATGGTTATATGAGGCTGTATCTAGGGATACATCCCATCTCGTCATATTTTCCTACTTATTTAAGGTTTTTTGCAATTTTGAATTGGTCACAGTTAGTTGACTTTTCATACTACTGGAAAGCAGATATTGTAAGAATTAGCAACATTCACTTGCAGATGAAAACAGACTGATGTACTTGTAATCCAAATCCTTCCCAGTCTTTGCCACACAGTAAACAAAGGGCACGAAAACAAACCACGATTCAGTCAACTTTTTGGCAAGTTTTTAAAAACCTTGACAGACAACAGAAATTCAGGCAGAGAAAAACAATTCCCTGGCAAATCCATCAGAAATCTCAAACCAAACTTTAAAGATTCAGATTCATTTAACCATTCGTTCCAGAGCTTAACGCTTCAAGGTTTGGTATAACGTTCCGTCACAAGAACTTTGCATTCACATGGGACACAAACTCTTACAGGTATGCTATTTCAAAACCTTGACTTGACTCCACTGAAGAATCTGGCTTAAACGGGTTCCTTAATGAGAAAGGCTCATATGAGTTTAACATTTTCTAATGAAGATGGATTATCCTCTGAACCAGTGGTTCTCCAAATTTTTTCAATAATGTGCCCCCTTTGAAAAAAAGGCTTTCAATATGACACCCCTCGACGGTTCAACTTCTTACATTTTGAACACAAATACCTGTACTTTCTACTTCTTACATGTTGAACACAAATACCTGAACTTTCTACTTCTTACATGTTGAACTCAAATACCTGTACTTCTACTTCTTACATTTTGAACTCAAATACCTGTACTTTCTACTTCTTACATGTTGAAACACAAATACCTGTACTTTCTACTTCTTACATGTTTGAACTCAATACCTGTACTTTCTACTTCTTACATGTTGAACACAAATACCTGTACTTCCTACTTCTTACATGTTGAACTCAAATACTGTACTTTCTACTTCTTACATGTTGAACCCAAATACCTGTACTTTCTACTTCTTACATGTTGAACAAATACCTGTACTTTCTACTTCTTACATGTTGAACCAAATACCTGTACTTTCTACTTCTTACATGTTGAACCAAATACCTGTACTTTCTATTCTTACATGTTGAACCAAATACCTGTACTTTCTACTTCTTACATGTTGAACACAAATACCTGTACTTTCTACTTCTTACATGTTGAACCAAATACCTGTAACTTTCTACTTCTTACATGTTGAACTCAAATACCTGTACTTTCTACTTCTTACATGTTGAACTCAAATACCTGTACTTTCTACTTCTTACATGTTGAACCAAATACCTGTACTTTCTACTTCTTACAGTTGAACCAAATACCTGTACGTTTCTACTTCTTACATGTTGAACATCAAATACCTGTACTTTCTACTTCTTACATGTTGAACACAAATACCTGTACTTCCTACTTCTTACATGTGAACTCAAATACCTGTACTTTCTACTTCTTACATGTTGAACTCAAATACCTGTACTTTCTACTTCTTACATGTTGAACCCAAATACCTGTACTTTCTACTTCTTACACGTTGAACCCAAATACCTGTACTTTCTACTTCTTACATGTTGAACACAAATACCTGTACTTTCTACTTCTTACATGTTGAACTCAAATACCTGTACTTTCTACTTCTTACATGTTGAACTCAAATACCTGTACTTTCTACTTCTTACATGTTGAACACAAATACCTGTACTTTCTACTTCTTACATGTTGAACACAAATACCTGTACTTTCTACTTCTACATGTTGAACACAAATACCTGTACTTTCTACTTCTTACACGTTGAACTCAAATACCTGTACTTTCTACTTCTTACATGTTGAACTCAAATACCTGTACTTTCTACTTCTTACATGTTGAACACAAATACCTGTACTTTCTACTTCTTACACGTTGAACCCAAATACCTGTACTTCCTACTTCTTACATGTTGAACCCAAATACCTGTACTTTCTACTTCTTACATGTTGAACCCAAATACCTGTACTTTCTACTTCTCACATGTTGAACCCAAATACCTGTACTTTCTACTTCTTACATGTTGAACTCAAATACCTGTACTTTCTACTTCTTACATGTTGAACCCAAATACCTGTACTTTCTACTTCTTACATGTTGAACTCAAATACCTGTACTTTTCTACTTCTTACATGTTGAACACAAATACCTGTACTTTCTACTTCTTACACGTTGAACCCAAATACCTGTACTTTCTACTTCTCACATGTTTGAACTCAAATACCTGTACTTTCTACTTCTTACATGTTGAACACAAATACCTGTACTTTCTACTTCTTACATGTTGAACCCAAATACCTGTACTTTCTACTTCTTACATGTTGAACCCAAAATACCTGTACTTTCTACTTCTTACATGTTGAACTCAAATCCCTGTACTTTCTACTTCTTACATGTTGAACCCAAATACCTGTACTTTCTACTTCTTACATGTTGAACTCAAATACCTGAACTTTCTACTTCTTACATGTTGAACTCAAATACCTGTACTTTCTACTTCTTACATTTTGAACTCAAATACCTGTACTTTCTACTTCTTACATTTTGAACACAAATACCTGTACTTTCTACTTCTTACAAGTTGAACACAAATACCTGTACTTTCCACTTCTTACATGTTGAACCCAAATACCTGTACTTTCTACTTCTTACATGTTGAACCCAAATACCTGTACTTTCTACTTCTTACATGTTGAACTCAAATACCTGTACTTTCTACTTCTTACATGTTGAACACAAATACCTGTACTTTCTACTTCTTACACGTTGAACCCAAATACTGTTAACTTATCTACTTCTTACATGTTGAACACAAATACCTGTACTTTCTACTTCTTACATGTTGAACACAAATACCTGTACTTTCTACTTCTTACATGTTGAACACAAATACCTGTACTTTCTACTTCTTACATGTTGAACACAAATACCTGTACTTTCTACTTCTCACTTTTGAACACAAATACCTGTACTTTCTACTTCTTACATGTTGAACTCAAATACCTGTACTTTCTACTTCTTACATGTTGAACTCAAATACCTGTACTTTTCTACTTCTTACATGTTGAACTCAAATACCTGTACTTTCTACTTCTCACATGTTGAACTCAATACCTGTACTTTCTACTTCTTACATGTTGAACACAAATACCTGTACTTTCTACTTCTTACATGTTGAACTCAAATACCTGTACTTCTACTTCTCTCATTTTCCAAACAGCTGGTCCTTTAGTCTAAATGTGTGTTTGATGCGTGATCATTATTCTTTAGAGTCATTGCGTGCCTATTGATTTGAACACGATCCGTGTATCCATCATTTCCTGGTCTTCTCTAAAGAAGAGGGACCAATGGAAACGTTGTCATGTTGCCGTTGTTCAGCATGGAAACATTCATTAGCTAACAATGACATTATAGTTCTATTGATATAAAGGGAGGTCAGGTACTCTTTAAAACAGCTGCTAGTTATGGGTACTTTTTACTGAAGTACATTTCAAAGCCTCTTTACTTTTACTTGAGTACAGAAGTTTAGTCAGTACTTCTACTTTCACCAGAGTATTTTTAAACACGAGTATCTGTACTTCTACCTGAGTAACTGATGTACTTTTGCCCTCTCTGTGGTTCAGTACCTGTTTTCTCGCGGAGAAGGCGCCCTTGTTGGTGCTGTTGTTGTGCCCCTGGTGCACCGACCCCCCCCCGTCCCGGTCCGTCAGATGCGATGGCAGCGGGCTCATGAACAGGATCCTGGCGATGAGTCCGTACAGAACCGTGGCAACGACCAGCGGGATCACGTAGAACAAGGTGAAGTCCAGGAAGTAGATGGGCATGTAGAAGCTGCGGGAGACGCGGTATCCACACGTCACCACGACTCCGTTGGCGTAGACGGTTTCCTCCGTGTCCACCAGGAAGAACCACATGATGCAGTAGAGCGAGGTGAAGATCCAGACCGCCGCGATGATCCTCTTGGCCCGGGACACGGTGCAGATGAACTGAGCCCTGATGGAGTGGCAGATGGCGATGTAGCGCTCGATGGTGAAGGCGGTGATGGAGCAGGATGACACGTTGATGCCCAGGTACTGAAGGTACGTTATGAACAAGCATCCGGTGTGTCCGTACACCCAGAAGGCCACGACGTCAGAGATGTTGGGCAGGCCGGCAGCCAGCAGAACCATCAGGTCTGCCAACGCCAGGCTGACCAGGTAGCAGTTGGTCGGCGTCACCATGTGTTTGGTGCGCAGAACCACCAGCACTACCATGATGTTCCCCGCTATCCCCACCACGCAGATGAGCGAGGTCAGAACGATGGTGACGAGCTGCTCTTCCAGAGGGTTCAGGGGGATTTCTGTCAGATTTACAGCCGGAGAGGCGTCCTGAAACACGGGGGTGTTGTTCTCCATCGTGTCGCAGATCAGTTTCTCTCCAGACGCACTAAACTGAAGGATCCTGAAGAACAAAACAGAGAAACATAAAGACTGTGAGGAAAACACTTCAGGGGAAATCAATCAAGCTGGTGCAGGGTGGTTTTGATCATTTGGTTTTGTTTTGAAGGGATTAGGGATAGCAAATCAATATATAACAAACAGGACTTAGAAAAACATTCCCCCTCTGCAATCTATCTTTTCACTGAAGCATCAAGTCTTTTTACAACAATGACAAATATAAGGACTGCTTTGAAATTACAGAAGGTTTTATTGGTACAAACCAATGTCTCTGTTTTTATATATTTTCCTAAAAACTTGTTTTTTGTGTTGACTCTCAAGATCAATGAAACTATTGCTGGGTTGTTTTGAGAAGATGTACTTCTTTTCTTCATATAATGTTAGTTTTGAATCTGGACTAAAGGGAATACCAATCGAACTGGGGTTGGTTCATTCAGTTTGAGGCTTTTATCTGTTTTTTGTCTATTAACCCTTCCTAGATTTATGGGAAATGGGCCAAACTAAAACAAACAAATTACACATCTCATCAACATTTCCCAAAGATAGTTTCTTTCGGTTTAGAAAGTTGTTGTCACTCCTGCATAAGCTTGGTTGTTTCAGTTACTTGATGCTTTACAAAGGGGGGAAGACATCAGAGGAGATATCACTTTAATTATCTTTAACCGTCACCAGTCTCTTTTAATTTATAGATATCATGGTCAGTTATTTTGTCTTTCAAGCCATACATCTACCATGGTGCTAACGTAGCAGCTAGGTGGCTAATGCTAACAAGTCATGCTCAGCTTGGGATTGGCTCTGTTGGATTTATAGGGGTGGGACCTCGATTACACGGCTATGCTCTGATTTGCTAAAAATCAACTCAGATGTATTGTCAATGCTGTGTTCACATCTTGTTTCCACTACCCCCAAGTGGTCAAACACTGCTATTGCAGATATAACAGAAATTATCAATTTCTTATCTAATCTCAATCATAACAAAATATTGAACATTTAAAATAATAAGAGTAATAATTATTGATATTAAAAGCGTAGTTATACTCAACATTTTGTTAAGATTCACACTGTAAGAAATCATTTAATTAATAACAACCTGTTAAGCCCCGAGACTGTTTTTCAGGTCTCAGGCTCGAAAATAACATTCCCAGAACAAATGACCATATCTTCTAAAAGGGTTAAATTAATAATCTTTTGTCTCAAAGCAATGATAAACCTGTGAGTTGGATGTAGAAGAGTCAGAATTCATATTTTTTATTTGAAAGTAAATTCAGATTGAACATAGTAACACAAATGTAAATGATAGTTTCCGTCAAAAAAAAACATTACTTATAGTGAACCACCCTTGAATGATGGGATGGTAGACTACAAGCTTTAGGAATCCAAACTATAACATATAATAAGTACCCTGTATCAAGAATGATGCAAAACAAGTGACATTTGACCTTTTTAGACAGATTTAGAAAAAAAAACCCACTTCTGGGGTCATTTGGGTGGATTTTCCATATCTCTGTACCCCCTCGGTCGATTTTGATGATTGACACTTGTTTTGAACCATTAGAGCCAATAGAATCAAGGGGAAGTTCCTAAAATCCATCTAAGCATTACCCATTGGTGAATGCATGCAACCGGAAGCTGGGTTGTAGCTCTCACAAGCATGCATATGAAATCTCCGTTTTTGACAAATATGTAAGGATAGATTATCAGTAATAATTTTAAAGTGACTAAGAGACATTGGATTAACCTTGAGCAGTGTTTTTATTCCCTTGAACACAACTTTTGATCACAAAACAGCCAAGGTAAGACGTAATTATTGTTATGGTTTTAAAAACGGATGTTGTTTTCTTGCTCTGTTCTGGCTGCTAGCTCAGTGAGTGCAGTGATGAGACTTATACCAATGGAATCTGTGGAATCTCAGCTTTCAGATGATATGTTATTTGTGCAGATAGTATGAAGTATAAAAGATCGTTTTTGCTCGTTATGACTGAAAGTAGCATTAGCCCGCTTTCGCTCAGGGCTCATTTAGACGCTTCTTGTGAGACTTGTGTTTTGTTTCGGTAACAATGGCTCGTATCGTCAGTTAGCTGAGTTTCGTCCCGTTAAGTGAGTATGACACATTCATACTTAATTAAATGTTAAGAAGCCCTGAGACACAGTTTCGTGAAAAAAAAGCAGGGGGCTATGGGGCTTAACCAATGTGTAGTCTTTAGATTTGATAAGAGTCTGTACAGATATATTTTAAATCTTGTCCCTAGTCAGGCTTTGCAGCGAAGGAACAACACACAGCTTTTTGCATCATGAAACAACATGCGCTATAAATAAATGATAAAACATAATACAGCATTAAAATAGCAAAATACACCTTGTAATGGGCCGTAAACACGTTTAAAATGGAAAGTCTGGTTTAACAAGCATTTCATATTTCTGGGAAAGGATAATACATCTGGAATAAAGTGATTTTAGTTAAATTAATTATTAAGGAATTAAGGAAACGCAGAACAGAAGCAATGACGGTTCACAATGGATCAGAACCTGCGCGACTGCTTAGGATTTTAAATCTGTAAAGATTTCTCTTTCGACTCCACTTCGAGCAATACAATGAAAAAAAGAAAAAAAGCACTTACACTAACAAAGGACTTATATACTAACAAAGGACTTATATACTAACAAAGGACTTATATACTAACAGAGCACTTACATACTAACAAAGGACTGGCTTATCTAAAGCCAGTTGAGTAGCACTTGAAATGTTTTGCTCTATGAAACCTGATGTACTTATATGATTCTGTTTTCTTCAAGTTTGTATCTTGTTGGTCGAACGCACTTATTGTAAGTCGCTTTGGATAAAAGCGTCAGCTAAATGTAATGTATTAATATCTAATTGACTGTGAAATGGAAAAAGTGAAGCCCTGTTTGTCCTCTGAGACGAAGGTGCACTTTATGACATCATCTGATGCTTTTATAAAAAAAGATTGTTGATTTGCAGAAAAAAGTCAGACGAACCGTCCCTTTTTTTAACATCGATAAATACATACTGCTCTAAAACCAACATTACCAATTTTACATTTATATATTCAGTTTCATATTTAATATTCCACCCCTCACACACTTATGTATATAATAACTTTTCAACATGTATATTTTATACGTTCTTGTTTATTTCTAGTCTTTTTCATTCGTATTGTACAATGCCATGTCTTTTATGCTGCAACAGAAACATTTCCCAAATTAGGATCAATAAATGACTTCTTATCTTATTACAGGTAAAGAAGATAGACGTGTATAATAAACATGCAGCTCACCATGGTTTGCAGGAGGCAGCTCTCAGGTGAAATCAGCCGCTGAGCGCTTTCCATTCTCCTCATCTCTCCCTCTCTCCTCACACACACTATCCCATCCTCCCTGCAACACACCTCCTCACACACACTATCCCATCCTCCCTGCAACACACCTCCTCACACACACTATCCCATCCTCCCTGCAACACACCGCCTCACACACACTATCCCATCCTCCCTGCAACACACCTCTCACCACCACTATCCCATCCTCCCTGCAACACACCTCCTCACACACACTATCCCATCCTCCCTGCAACACACCTCCTCACACACACTATCCCATCCTCCCTGCAACACACCTCCTCACACACACTATCCCATCCTCCCTGCAACACACCGCCTCACACACACTATCCCATCCTCCCTGCAACACACCGCCTCACACACACTATCCCATCCTCCCTGCAACACACCGCCTCACACACACCAACTTAAAAATCAATCCCCCTCCTCTTCATCACGAGGCCGGGCTGTAAACCCTGTAATCACTGCGAGGACAGAGCGGAGAACCGGCAATTCAACACATCAGCCTCGACACAGATAGCCGCTGGATTGAAATAGCAATAAATACAAAGTGGAGCCTTTTTGTGCAACTATAGCAAACATCATTTAGTTACCTCACCATGCTGAGCTCCAGATGCTCTGAGAGTAGACATACAGCTTCTTAAATGTGCATATTAAAGTTTAGCAAACATCTCTGAGACTTGGAGTCTGGGAGGACTAAATGAGGACATGTGCAATGTATGGCTCACCAACCTTAACACGAGAGAGATAAATAAAACACAAACACAGACGTTGGTTGAGATGAATTATTATTCAGTTGCGCAACAACAATAATAATCTAGAGTAACATTAGCAGCCAATCGCGGACATGCCCCCCAACAGCAATCATACAGCTAGCCACTGCAATGAGCACACACATGTTCCCTACGCATGTGTAACGCACACACATGTGATCATGCAGCCTGCTACACAAATGTAACATGTTTTTCTCTCTGAAAGCTACACTTGTATTTCAACAAAGGTTAAGTGTTTCTATAACCTGAGGATTCTCTGAACTTCCTCTGCCCTCGGTGTCAGCTCACTTCAAATGAACACATCTATTGATAATTCAGAAGGACCATTGTCTCTGTAACTGCGTGTGAGCCAGCTCAGTAACACACATCATATGGCTTACCATGTGACCTTAATGAATATCAGAAATACGCTGTAATAAGGATTCTGCCATAACAGACATTTAAAGACGTCAACATTCACAATTCTTCTACTTTCTCTGAGCTTTTATCGACCACACATGTCCTTAATGTCCCAGTCTATCAAACGTACACAATCTCAGAGCTTCTGTTTAAAAAAACATGCAGAAAATACATTTTTATGGCAGTATCTTCTGATTTATGGAGCAATACAAAGAGATATATACCTTTGACTAATATCTGAACAACATGAAACAAGACCTGCGTTATCAAATGATCGCTTTTCTGTGACGGAAATGCATGCAAATGAGCTCATATTTAATAACAGAATGCCTCATTAGCATATTTAAACATAACCTGTCAGAGAACTTGTAATACAAAACATGGTTGTGTTAATGTCAGTAATGAAGTGGGAAAGTTTCATAGTGATACCTGTGAGTCTTTTTGTTTACCCCATTCACCTTCAGAGTCTAATGCACAGAAAAGCTTTCGCTGCAGATGCTGTAAAACAAAGAGCAACCATCCACTGAGTCTTATTCAAACAATGAGGAGTCCAGTCTGTACAGTGGAGCATCATGAGATAACAGATACTTTATTGATCCCAAATTGGGACATGTTTGCGTTGCAGCAGCAAAAACAACAACAAAACAAAACAAGGCATGCAGACATTAAAGAGTAGAAATAAACAATACCAGAAACAACAGCATCAAGTAGAAAATATACTGTGAGGATGCATCAATGTTCTCTCTACTTGCATTCAAAGCCTCTTTGAGCAGCAGGAACATATTCGATGTATTCTACGGTTACTTTGAGATCAGAGGGTAAAGGTGGCTCAACATTAGGGTCCTATGATATCTAGATTATTTATTTTACATCATTTGTCATCAAACACAATTCCATAACATGTATATTGTTATTTGCTTTAGTTTCCTCATTGAATTGAATGTGTTCACTCTTTGTAAACATTAGGCTCAGTGTTTTAAAGCTTCTTAGATATTGGGACTGTTAGAGGCTACACTTTATTAATAAGCATTTGGACTCTAATGAATGATTCAGATCGCTGCGTTTGGAACAACAACACGCTGAGCCGTGCACGCATTAGTGAGCTGATGCATTGAAACAGAAACACATGCATAATGTACAGCTCCTGTCTCTCTTTCTTCAGCTGCGAGGCGGAGAGGCGGCGAGGCGGAGAGGCGGAGAGGCGTGGACACAAAGTCAGAATTAAAAATAGAAGATAAAGAGGTTTTTCTATTATTACTCAGAGACCGTGTTTACAAATAAACTGCCGAGGCTCATGGGAGTTTCAAGCGCTGATCAAAAAGGACTTTTGCAGACTTTTTTTTTTTTTAGAAAGAGTGCAAAGATTAAATTAAACTTGTGAATTATTGGATTTGATTTATTTCATCTATTAAAGACTTCATGTCCTTCTGTGCAAAGCTCCAGAGCGCCCTCTAGTGGGCCGGACGTATCAGAACAGAGACAGCAGGGTTTTATTACATGAGGAAAAACAGCTTTTGTTATTAAGATAATAGTGTGCACTTATACACCTGAACATGCTTATGTATATTTTGTGTATGTGTGAACATATGAATGTGAAAAAAAGTGTTCACAATGTTTATATGCTTATATTATTATTATCATTCATTTGCCAAGTACATGTGTACATACAATGCGGATTCCGTCCTGGTCGTGGAACGACGGATCAGCTTTTTACTCTCGCAAGGATCCTGGAGGGGGCCTGGGAGTACGCTTATCCGGTCTACATGTGTTTTGTAGACTTGGAGAAGGCGTATGACCGAGTTCCCAGGGAGTTACTGTGGGAGGTGCTGCGGAAGTATGGGGTGAGGGGGTCTCTACTCAGGGCCATCCAATCTCTGTACTCCCAAAGCGAGAGCGGTGTCCGGGTCCTCGGCAGGAAGTCGGACCCATTTCCGGTGAGGGTGAATGTGAAGCGGCTGGGATGAGGATCAGCACCTCCAAATCTGAGGCCATGGTTCTCAGCAGGAAACCGATGGACTGTCCACTCCAAGTAGGGAATGAGTCCTTACCCCAAGTGAAGGAGTTCAAGTATCTCGGGGTCTTGTTCTCGAGTGAGGGAACAATGGAGCGTGAGATGGGCCGGAGAATCGGAGCAGCGGGAGCGGTACTGCAGTCGCTTTACCGCACCGTTGTGACGAAAAGGGAGCTGAGCCAGAAGGCAAAGCTCTCTGTCTACCGGGCCATTTTGGTTCCTACCCTCACCTATGGTCATGAAGGATGGGTCATGACCGAAAGAACGAGATCGCGGATACAAGCGGCCGAGATGGGTTTTCTCCACAGGGTGGCTGGTGTCTCCCTTAGGGATAAGGTGAGAAGTTCGGTCATCAGGGAGGGACTGGGAGTTGAGCCGCTCCTCCTTCGCGTTGAAAGGAGCCAGTTGAGGTGGTTCGGGCACCTAGTTAGGATGCCACCTGGGCGCCTCCCTAGGGAGGTGTTCCAGGCACGTCCAGCTGGGAAGAGACCAAGGGGTAGACCTAGGACCAGGTGGAGGGATTATATCTCTTTGTTGGCCTGGGAGCGCCTTGGGATCCCCCAGTCAGAGCTGGTTGATGCCAGGGAAAAGAAAGTTTGGGGCTCTCTGCTGGAACTGCTACCCCCGCGACCCGACCACGGATAAGCGGGAGAAGATGGATGGATGGATGTGTACATAATATATATTTATACATAGTATTTTCCTTTTCAAAAAAGATAGTTGAAACTGCTTCTGACACGTGCAGAAAATGACCCTATGTCTAGTTTCCTTACAGGCTCTGGATCTGAGACCTGTCTATATGGATGAGAAACACAGGGGACCTCCATCATGCCGTGGTGTTAGAAGACGTCCAACAACAGGAGCCTAAAGATATGGGAATGGTTCTATGAGACCGTATCTAGGGATGCATATCTTCATATTTGATCTACTTATGTTTCTTGTATATATGCATCAATTATTTTCTTCCACTAACTTTTATTTATTTTCTCTCCAGTTTCCTTCATTTCTAATTTCTATACGTTTTTGATGCAATAATGCCGATGTTGTGTTAGGGGGATTCACGGGAGGGCTACTTCCCACAAGCAGAGCTTCAGCCCTCCCGCTTCTACTCATTGTGTTCATCGCTGTGTATGAGTTCTACTTTTTTGGATGAATTAGTAGAATAAAGAAATAGCTTACTGGTTTAGTTATCAGGGACCATGTTCAAAAAGAAACAGATATAAGATGCTTCGTACCAGATTATAGACGTTTACTAATTTCCTGCAGGTCAACACAGAACACATACAGTTCAACAACAACAACAACACGGATGATATCACAACACATTTCATACACGCTAAGATAAACAACTTCTTTATAATGGTTTCAATCAATGTTTTTTTATAGCCCAATATCACAAATGTTACATTTGTCTCAGTGGACTTTACAGTTTGTACAGAATATCAGTATGACAATACGACATCCTCTGTCCTTAGACCCTCTGTCCTTAGACCCTCTGTCCTTAGACCCTCTGTCCTTAGACCCTCTGTCCTTAGACCCCCTGTCCTTAGACCCTCTGTCCTTAGACCCTCTGTCCTTAGACCCTCACATCGTACAAGGAAAAACTTCCAGAGAAAACCCACAGTTTAAAGGGAACATGGGAGAAACCTCAGGGAGAGCAACAGAGGAGGGATCCCTCTCCCAGGACGGACAGACGTGCAATAGATGCCGTGTGTAAATTGAAAAGATAATACATTTACAACATAGGTAGTCCAAATGTTTGGAAATGCATGTGTGTATAATAGGAAGATGAATCCACGAGGATATCCATCCAGGACCTATGATCCAGGACCACAGCCACGACTCAAGATCCAGGGCTCGCGATGCAGGACAGAGGAGCGCAGGATCATCCATGACTCCGGATCCCGGCGTATATAGACACCAAAAAGAAAGACATTTGGGGAAGCTGGGTTAATCGGAACATGAGAGTACACAGGTATAGACAGAGAGAAGGAAGAAGTAAGATGTCCCCCGACAAACTAAGCCTATATCAGCAAAACTAGGGGCTGAATCTAATCAGCCCTAACTATAAGCTTTATCAAAAAGGAAGGTCTTAAGCGCACTCTTAAAAACGGATAGGGTGTCTGCCGCCCGAACACAAACTGGAAGCTGATTCCACAAATGTGGAGCTTGATAAGAAAAGGCTCTGGCTCCCATTGTACTTTTAGAGACTCTAGGAACAACCAACAACCCTGGTTGGTTTGTTTGTATCCTTACATTAGGAGGCTTTGCCCCTTCTGCATTGTAGAATAGAATCATTTAAAGTCATTACATGTACAATGAAAGAAAGAAAAGCTTCTCCCTTTTTAAAAGGTGTCATCAAAACAAAAACATCACAACATACGACAACAAATACACGCAGCAGACACACTTAGGTGAGAATAAAGAATAAAGTGCAGTAATTCATAGTGACCTGGATTCCATGCAGCTTTGTGTGTGCAAACATATATTTATTTATATACAGTTAAACACGAGCAGGTGTGTTTCTGTCGAGGCATATTGAGCCGATGTTACATCTATAAAAGCCCATCAGGTTTCAGTGTGAGGCTCGCCTGCAGAAAGGTGTCGATACGCAGGATGTTTCATCTGTCGATCTATAGTTTCTACACTTATCATAAAGATAACACGTGATGCACAGCCTGAAACAATCAGTCCTACAGCCTGGGTGTGTGAAGGTCTGCAGCCTCTTCTCTGCATCCTGTAACCACAGCGTCACGGTTATCACAAAATGGCTGAGAGTCAGAACAGAAGGGTATAAAACCTAAAACCATACAAATAGCGCACGATGTAAATAATGTATAAACATCCTGCTTCATATCGTGTCTAAAGCCTTCAATAGTGTTTTATAGTCAGAGTTGATAGATGTTGTATCTTCACGGTCTACTGTATATTTACTACTTTTTAATGCTGTTTTAATTCTATTTTGAGATGTTTAATTTCTAGTATTGTTTATTTCTACTCCTTAATTTCTACTTGTGTACAAACTCCTGGTCCTCACTTACAAAGCCCCCCCCCCCCCCCTACCTCACTGACCTCTTCATCCTCTACCACCCCCCCCCGGACCCTCAGATCCACCTCAGCCGGTTCGCTTTCCATCCCCAAGTCCGAAGCTCTGGACCTCCCTCCCCCAAGACCTCCATGAGTCTGAGGGTGTTTCTCTGGCCGTTTCTCAATCTCGAGGATACTGGCTTCCAAGCCAATATTTCAAGGATGCTGCGTCATCAAGTGGCGCAGCAGGACTGTTCCAATCTCCAGCATACTTGGAATTCCACTGAGGCTGCGTCCTTGGTTTGGGGGTAATTTCGAGGCTGCACATGAGTAGACTTCGCGTACTTCAAATCCCCACAATGCTTTGCGCACGGACCAATTTCCCCAAATCTGTGGCGGAAAATGTAAGGCGGGGCCTCTCATATGACGCACACCTGCACACTTGCTCGCCTGTTCCACTCTTTGTTTTCCGAATGCCAGGAAGGATTCGTGCCTCGCTTCTGAAGGAAGTGACTCGGAAGACATGTGCTACCAAGCAAGCGTACTTGAGATTGAGAAACACCTTTAGTCCCTCGCCCTGATCCAGTCCCGCCTCAAAACCCACCTCTTCACCTCTTGCGTGTCCTTGTTTGTCTACCCTCCCTCGTAATGTGAAGCGTCTTTGGGTTAAAAAGCGCTATAGAAATATAATGTATTATTATGTCCAATGCCTTGTATTGTTTTGTAGTTTTTTATGCAGCTGCAACCTCTTATGTTATCTTATCTGTCGTCACAATAGAGACAGAAAAGACACAAGAGAACGTTGAAGCAAACATGTCAAACCTTGGGATCAATAAAATACCTCTGATCTTAAAAGAGACAGAATAGAAACAAAACAAAGTGCAAGACAAAATTGTAAGTGTCAAAATTCAAAGTCAACTTTATTGTCAATCTTTCAGTTTGTGTGTACAGGCAGAGAGATGTCTGATATCAAAGAGGAACATTTACAGGGAAACAAAAGCATGTATGTGTCACTCTTTCACCGAACCAGAACAGACGTGACGTGTTTCTGTTTTCTCTGCTCCTCTTGGACTTCCTTCTCCCTCCGGTATTCCCTCCTCCTCTCCTCCTGCTCTCTGAAGAAGGACGCTGAGATGTTCCTTCTCAGCCGGCGGGCGTAGACCTCGATGAAGACGAGGAGGTAGCTGAGGATCCAGAGGAAGCCGAGCAGCAGGGAGACGCCCGGGCTGGGGGGGGCGACGGACGCCTCGCACAGGGAGGGCTCGGGGTCAAAGGTCCAGCTGTAGTCTCTGTGGAAGTGTGTGAGCTCCCGACTGAAGCACAACTCTGGGATCAGGACAGAGGGCCGGAGGGAACCATTTCACCTGCCAGGAGGTTAGAAAAGAAACAAGAGAGAGTTCAAATAACCAGGAAGAAGATACTGCAGCTGTGGACAGGCGAAGACACAACAACACAACCACAAAGAAACCTACATACACAACATTAAGAGACACTCGACCACAACAAAGTCACAAAATGTCTTAAAGAGATGCAAAATGACTGCTAAGATGTATAGATTATAAATAACTACAGACAGACAATAATGATCAAAAAGATGCAAAACAACTACAAAGCGACCCAGAAGGACACAGAGAAACACGAGTTCAAAAAGTCCCAAACTGACTTCAACAAGATGAAAAATCACAGAAAATGAACATAAATGGAAACGATAACAAGAAGACACAAAATAAGGCAGAAATATCTATAAAAAGACACAGATTGACAGCAAAAACAAACTAAAACACCACAATGATTCATTTAAAGACTACAAACATACAGAAATTCACTACAACAAGATACAAAACGATGCTAAATGAACATAGATACACATTGAACTACTGAAAAGACACACAAACAACTATGAGATGCAAAAACACATAAATAACTTCAAAAACACACATAATGACTAAGAGATGCTGAACAACTACTAAGTGACTCATTATAACCTCAAAGAGACACAAAGGCTACAAGAAGACATAAAACAACTACAAAGGACCCAAAAGGACTTCAAAAAGACACGGAGAAACATTCAGAAAGTCTCAAACTGACTTCAACGAGATGGAAAATCACAGAAAATGAACATAAATGGATAGAAAACGATCACAAGAACAATAACTACAAAGAGACTGAAAATGTCTATAAAAAGACACGAAAACACCACAACGATACATTTAAAGACTACAAACATACAGAAAACCACTATAACAAGATCCAAAAAGACAAAAGAATATGCTAAATTAACATAGAGACATACTGAACTACTAAATAGACACAGAAAACAACTCAAATGAGATGCAAAAATAACATAAACAACTTCAAAGAGACACATAATGACCTCAAAAGAAACAACATGACTACAACAAGATTTAAAAAAGGCTACAAAATCACAGAAAACCACTTCAAATAAAAGACACAGATTGACGACAAAAAGATACAAAATAACTACAACAACACTCTGAACTACTAAAAAGACACAGAAAACAACGAGATGCAAAAATACATAAAATAACTTAAAATAGATTCAAAACAACTTCAAAAAGACACAGAATGACGACCAAAAAAAAACGTTAAACATTACATTTCATTTAGCTGATGCTTTTATACAGGGACACAAAGACAACAAAGACACTTGAAGACAACAAACAAAAACAAAATGACCATTCAGAGTTACAACATGACTCTTAATATAAACACAATTACAACAAAGAGACACATAATGACTACAAAGAGTTGCAAACAACTACAAACAAACTCAAAATAACCTCAAAAAGACAAAAAATAACAACAAGAGACAGAAAATGACCACAAAAATAAATTAAAAGACTACAAAGACATGGAAAACAACTTCAACAAGACACTTGAAGACAACAAACAAAAACAAAATGACAGAGTTACAAAATGACTCTAAATCGATGTTAATAACCACGTTTTACCTTATAATCGACACTGATGCTGGCCGTCGTCGGTGGGAACTCCAGGACCCACGGCAGCGCGGCCTGAACGATCAGAAACACGACGTGATCCAGAGCGACCACCAACGTTATCGCCATGAAATACAACGTGACCACGAGCAGAGACAGGAAGCAGGAAGTGAACTCCTGACCGCTCATCCTGCAGCTCGTGGGACAACCTTTACGATCGGCCTCGTCCTCCTTAGAGACGTGTTCATTATCGAACTGAACGGATCCCAGGTAAGACTTCAGGTAACGAGCAGATTCAAATATCAGCGCGGCGACAAACATGGCGGCAAGAACGCGGTTCGACAGCAGCTTGTAGTGTTTCAGAGTGTTTCTGGCGTGGGAGAAGTCGCCCTCTATCTGCGCGATGATCTGCCCGAACCTACAAGAGACACATGATGACTACAAAGAGACACACAATGACTACACAGAGACACACGATGACTACAAAGAGACACACGATGACTACATAGAGACACAGTATGACTACAAAGAGACACATGATGACTACATAGAGACACACGATGACTACAAAGAGACACATGATGACTACATAGAGACACAGTATGACTACAAAGAGACACATGATGACTACAAAGAGACACACAATGACTACACAGAGACACACGATGACTACAAAGAGACACACGATGACTACATAGAGACACAGTATGACTACAAAGAGACACATGATGACTACAAAGAGACACACGATGACTACACAGAGACACATGATGACTACATAGAGACACAGTATGACTACAAAGAGACACATGATGACTACATAGAGACACATGATGACTACAAAGAGACACACAATGACTACATAGAGACACAGTATGACTACAAAGAGACACACGATGAACACAAAGAGACACACGATGAACACAAAGAGACACACGATGAACACAAAGAGACACACGATGAACACAAAGAGACACACGATGAACACAAAGAGACACACGATGAACACAAAGAGACACACGATGAACACAAAGAGACACACGATGACTACACAGAGACACACGATGACTACACAGAGACACACGATGACTACAAAGAGACACACGATGACTACAAAGAGACACACGATGACTACATAGAGACACACGATGACTACACAGAGACACACGATGACTACAAAGAGACACATGATGACTACATAGAGACACACGATGACTACAAAGAGACACACGATGACTACACAGAGACACACGATGACTACAAAGAGACACACGATGACTACATAGAGACACATGATGACTACAAAGAGACACACGATGACAACAAATAGACACACGATGACTACAAAGAGACACACGATGACTACAAAGAGACACACGATGACTACATAGAGACACAGTATGACTACATAGAGACACATGATGACTACACAGAGACACATGATGACTACACAGAGACACACGATGACTACACAGAGACACACGATGACTACACAGAGACACACGATGACTACACAGAGACACACGATGACTACACAGAGACACACGATGACTACAAAGAGACACACGATGACTACACAGAGACACACGATGACTACAAAGAGACACACGATGACTACAAAGAGACACACGATGACTACACAGAGACACACGATGACTACACAGAGACACACGATGACTACACAGTAGAGATGTTAAGATTCACCGATTCGCATCGGTGCACCGGCATAAACGTTCAAGATGCGAGTGCACCGGTTGAAAGAGTGCACATCGGCTACAGTTTGGGTTGAACCGGGTTGAACTCGCGATGCATCGATTGCGTAGCGTCTTTGCATCGGTAAAAAACCGATTCATTCATATAAAATCCCCTAATCTTGTCAACGCTCAGCAGAGACGATCTTTGATATTTGCTTCGCCACTACGGAGGCCAAGAGTCTCAGTTATCAACACACACGGAAGTCGAGGAGAAAGAGAAACACAGCGCACCGAAAAATACCTACAAATCAAACGTTTGGTAACACTTCGGATTGTTCAAGAAAGACGGTGTAATAGTCCTTTATGCTAGGCTATATAGTTGACCGCAGGTCATGGAGAGTAATAAGGTATCCGTAGACTTTTGTATGAGGTATCTTTATTACTTAACAGGTCTACAGCCATGATACATAGATCCGTCCTAGATGCGGGCTTGCATACACACAGTATCACTCCGCAGCCGCACCCCATCAGTAACGTCCTGATGGTATATGTGCGCGGCACAGACGGTCAACTTGAAAAATCGCTCGCAAATTGTTAACGATGCAGAGCCGATTTAAAGTACACAAGTAGTACGAGGAACTTAGCGACGCACATAAAGAGTCGACATGGGGTCTGCGGCTGAAAAGAGAAACCTCAAAGTTAGACATATGAGTTAAATCACTCAGTGAGGTGTTCTGTCAGAGAGAGTGGTGTTTAGTTTACAGCAGTCTGTGACGGCCAATAATAATTTAAATGTATTCCTCACTGTAAGCAGTTATGAAATACCTGTTTGTGAAAGGTTATTTGTATTATTTATTGTTCATATAGAACCCACCGCTTTCTGCTCACTGGTGAGTTAGCCTATGAATGAGTGTTAAGCACATCAGGCTGGCAGCTGTATGGGCATTGCTCTATGGTAGCTGTTATTTGCACATTGTTAATCATGAGCAATGCATCCTTACATTGTTTAACTGTGAGGTGTTATACAATTGTACTCTGGAGAGCTTTTAAAGGTAAAAAAATAAACGGCATGATGGGATGTGCAGTACCAAATATGTAAAGCACTTTTTTGTTAATGTATGATTTGCTGCATATAAGGAATAAAACAAAAATCCTCTGTCGTACCAAATTGAAGTATCATTATTGTTGCATCGTGTTGAATCGCATCGTATCGCACCGAATCGCATAATGTTGAATCAAATCGTATCGAACTGTATCGCAACAGGGGTGAATCGTATCGTATCGCATCGCCTGGTGTTTCAAATGTATCGTTAATGTATCGTATCGTGGCAGCGTATCGAGATGCGCATCGCATCGGCCTCAGTGATGGAGATGCACATCCCTACTACACAGAGACACACGATGACTACACAGAGACACACGATGACTACACAGAGACACACGATGACTACAAAGAGACACACGATGACTACAAAGAGACACACGATGACTACACAGAGACACACGATGACTACACAGAGACACACGATGACTACACAGAGACACACGATGACTACACAGAGACTAATGATGACTACAAAGAGACACATAATGACTACACAGAGACTAATGATGACTACACAGAGACACACGATGACTACACAGAGACTAATGATGACTACACAGAGACACATGCTGACTACACAGAGACACACGATGACTACACAGAGACACACGATGACTACACAGAGACACACGATGACTACACAGAGACACACGATGACTACACAGACACACGATGACTACACAGAGACACACGATGACTACACAGAGACACACGATGACTACACAGAGACACACGATGACTACAAAGAGACACACGATGACTACACAGAGACACATGATGACTACACAGAGACACACGATGACTACACAGAGACTAATGATGACTACAAAGAGACACATAATGACTACACAGAGACACACGATGACTACAAAGAGACACACGATGACTACACAGAGACACACGATGACTACACAGAGACACGATGACTACACAGAGACACACGATGACTACACAGAGACACACGATGACTACACAGAGACACACGATGACTACAACGAGACACACGATGACTACACAGAGACACACGATGACTACACAGAGACACACGATGACTACACAGAGACACACGATGACTACACAGAGACACACGATGACTACACAGAGACACACGATGACTACAACGAGACACACGATGACTACACAGAGACACACGATGACTACACAGAGACACACGATGACTACACAGACACACGATGACTACACAGAGACACACGATGACTACACAGAGACACACGATGACTACAAAGAGACACACGATGACTACACAGAGACACACGATGACTACACAGAGACACACGATGACTACAACGAGACACACGATGACTACACAGAGACACACGATGACTACACAGAGACACACGATGACTACACAGAGACACACGATGACTACACAGAGACACACGATGACTACACAGAGACACATGATGACTACACAGAGACACACGATGACTACACAGAGACACATAATTACTACAAAGAGACACACGATGACTACACAGAGACACACGATGACTACACAGACACACGATGACTACACAGAGACACACGATGACTACACAGAGACACACGATGACTACAACGAGACACACGATGACTACACAGAGACACACGATGACTACACAGAGACACACGATGACTACACAGAGACACACGATGACTACACAGAGACACACGATGACTACACAGAGACACACGATGACTACACAGAGACACACGATGACTACACAGAGACACATAATTACTACAAAGAGACACACGATGACTACACAGAGACACACGATGACTACAAAGAGACACATGATGACTACACAGAGACACATGATGACTACACAGAGACACATGATGACTACACAGAGACACACGATGACTACACAGAGACACACGATGACTACACAGAGACACATAATGACTACAAAGAGACACATAATGACTACACAGAGACACAAAAAGGCTACAAAATCAAATAAAACAACTTCAAATAGACAAAAAATCACTACAAAAAAGACACAACATGGCAACAAAAATAACGTAAAGACTACAAAGACATGAACAACAACTTAAACCAGACAAAAAATGACAACAAAAAGACAAAAAATGACGATAATTTTCCCGAACCTGCTTTTAACTGCCGACAAATCAACGTGAGTGAAGAGATCCAACTTTCTCAGGTTGGTCACAAGGCTCAAATCCTCCCTCCGGACTTTAATAGTCTCCAGAACCAGATCTTTCTTGGCTGCATTCAGAGGTTCTGAGGAGTTCAGAAGAGTCCTGGTGAAACCCTCGGCCGTGCACTTTAGGATTCGAGCGACGGAGCCTACGTTGGAGGAGATGTTTGGGATCACGTTGAGGACCAGGATCATGACGGAGGCCGTGAGGAGGAGCTTTCGGCCCTGCCGGGTGCAGACGGTGGGGAGGGAGAGCGTGAGGACGCACCGCAGGGGGGGGATCAGGGAGGACAGCAGGAAGATGGACACGCTGTGAGGAGACGAGAAAGAGCAGATTTCAACACTAGGAAATAAAGAAAGTCAGAACTCTAAACATTTGTTTCCCTTTTTTACTTCGGAGAAAAAAGTTTTCACAGATTTTTGACTGTTTTCAATGTTTAGACTTTTTCTCCGAATTATTTTTGCCGAATTTTTACGTTTTTCTCAGAGTTTTTACTTTTCTTGGAATTACATTTTTTTTATAAGAATTTTGAATTTTTTAAGAATTTTTAATCTTCTAGGAATGTTTTTACTTTTCTAAGAATTTTGACCTTTTTCTCAGAATTTTTATTCTACTTATACATTTATGTATTTTCTAAGAATTTTGACTTTTCTAAGAATTTTGACTTTTCTAAGAATTGTTTTTTATTGTTTCAGCAGGAAGAAGGACACGCTGTGAAGAGAGGAGAGAGAGCAGTAAGCTGGAAATAAAGAAGAATTAAGAAAGTCAGAATTCAGAACTTACTTATTACTTCTGATACAAATGTATTACAGATTTCTGACATTTCTCAATGTTTAGACTTCTAATGACTTTTCATCAGATTTTTGACTTTTTCTCAGAATTTCAATTTTTTCCAAGTTTTCTTCGAATTTTGACTTTTTTCTACGAATTTTGACTTTTTATAAGAATTTTGACTTTTCTTCCAATATTTGTATACTTTCTAAGAATTTTGACTTTTTCTCAGAATTTCTAATTTTTCATTTTCTCTCTGAATTTTGTTTGTTTTCTCTGAATTTTTACTTTTCTAAGAATTTTTTATATTTTCTCAGAATTTTCGCTTTTCTCAGAATTTTTTATTTTCTTAGATTTTTTAAATATTTTCTAATAGATTTTTTCTCAGAATTCAGACCTGTAGATGCTGGAGGTCAGCAGGCAGGTTTCTGAGGCATTAATTCAGACCTGTAGATGCTGGAGGTCAGCAGGCAGGTTTCTGATAGATTAATTCAGACCTGTAGATGCTGGAGGTCAGCAGGCAGGTTTCTGAGGCATTAATTCAGAGCTGTAGATGCTGGAGGTCAGCAGGCAGGTTTCTGAGGCATTAATTCAGACCTGTCGATGCTGGAGGTCAGCAGGCAGGTTTCTGAGGCATTAATTCAGACCTGTAGATGCTGGAGGTCAGCAGGCAGGTTTCTGAGGCATTAATTCAGACCTGTCGATGCTGGAGGTCAGCAGGCAGGTTTCTGAGGCATTAATTCAGACCTGTCGATGCTGGAGGTCAGCAGGCAGGTTTCTGAGGCATTAATTCAGACCTGTAGATGCTGGAGGTCAGCAGGCAGGTTTCTGAGGCATTAATTCAGACCTGTAGATGCTGGAGGTCAGCAGGCAGGTTTCTGAGGCATTAATTCAGACCTGTAGATGCTGGAGGTCAGCAGGCAGGTTTCTGAGGCATTAATTCAGACCTGTCGATGCTGGAGGTCAGCAGGCAGGTTTCTGATAGATTAATTCAGACCTGTAGATGCTGGAGGTCAGCAGGCAGGTTTCTGAGGCATTAATTCAGAGCTGTAGATGCTGGAGGTCAGCAGGCAGGTTTCTGAGGCATTAATTCAGACCTGTCGATGCTGGAGGTCAGCAGGCAGGTTTCTGAGGCATTAATTCAGACCTGTAGATGCTGGAGGTCAGCAGGCAGGTTTCTGAGGCATTAATTCAGACCTGTAGATGCTGGAGGTCAGCAGGCAGGTTTCTGAGGCATTAATTCAGACCTGTCGATGCTGGAGGTCAGCAGGCAGGTTTCTGAGGCATTAATTCAGACCTGTAGATGCTGGAGGTCAGCAGGCAGGTTTCTGAGGCATTAATTCAGACCTGTCGATGCTGGAGGTCAGCAGGCAGGTTTCTGAGGCATTAATTCAGACCTGTAGATGCTGGAGGTCAGCAGGCAGGTTTCTGAGGCATTAATTCAGACCTGTCGATGCTGGAGGTCAGCAGGCAGGTTTCTGAGGCATTAATTCAGACCTGTCGATGCTGGAGGTCAGCAGGCAGGTTTCTGAGGCATTAATTCAGACCTGTAGATGCTGGAGGTCAGCAGGCAGGTTTCTGAGGCATTAATTCAGACCTGTAGATGCTGGAGGTCAGCAGGCAGGTTTCTGAGGCATTAATTCAGACCTGTAGATGCTGGAGGTCAGCAGGTAGGTTTCTGAGGCATTAATTCAGACCTGTCGATGCTGGAGGTCAGCAGGCAGGTTTCTGAGGCATTAATTCAGACCTGTCGATGCTGGAGGTCAGCAGGCAGGTTTCTGAGGCATTAATTCAGACCTGTCGATGCTGGAGGTCAGCAGGCAGGTTTCTGAGGCATTAATTCAGACCTGTAGATGCTGGAGGTCAGCAGGCAGGTTTCTGAGGCATTAATTCAGACCTGTAGATGCTGGAGGTCAGCAGGCAGGTTTCTGAGGCATTAATTCAGACCTGTAGATGCTGGAGGTCAGCAGGTAGGTTTCTGATAGATTAATTCAGACCTGTATATGCTGGAGGTCAGCAGGCAGGTTTCTGAGGCATTCATTCAGACCTGTAGATGCTGGAGGTCAGCAGGCAGGTTTGTGAGGAGTATCTGAGGGAGTCTGAGAGCCAGAGGAGCATCAGGAGGCCGGTCAGCAGGGCGAGGCTGAAGCAGAGAACCAGCAGCGTGAGAAGGTTTCTGCCCTGAGGAGCAGGAGCTGAGAACACATCCCACAGGTGGAGGAGGGCGGAGCTTAACACCTGTCTGCAGGAGGAGGATCTGAGGAAACAGGAAAGAGAGAGAGGCTGAATCCTGCAAACTCCGTTTAGACAAACTAAATGGGTTTTCGAGAATTTTGACTTTTCTCAGAATGTTACTTTTTTCTAAGTATTTTGACTTTTTCTCAGAATTTCAATATTTTCTAAAATGTTTACTTTTTCTCAGAACCTTTGCTGTTTCTTAGAAATTAGAATTTTCTCAGAATTCTCATTATTTCTCAGAATATTATTTTTTTCTCAGACTTCAAAATGTTCTCAGTTTTTACTTTAGTTAGAATTTGTAATATTTTCTCAGAAATGTGTAATATTAATATTTTCTCAGAATTTGTATCATTTTCTCAGAATTACCAGTTGGTATACTAACCACCAAGTTGAATGTCTATTTTTGCAATTTCCTGGCTGCTTCCAGGAGATTCTCCTCACAATGTCCAGGCAACTAAATAATAAAGCTCAATATCCCAAATTATGAACTTGCATCAAAGGGTTTTAAAATCTGTTTTAAGACCCAGTGTAAGAACCAGTTTCAGAAGAGAAGTATTACGATACACTTAAAGACTACAAATATACAGAAAACCGCTATAACAAGATACGAAAAGACTAAAAATATGCAAATGAACATGGATAAACACTGAACTGCTAAAAAGACACACATATAATAAATAAACAACTTAAAAGAGACACATTTTGACTACAAAGAGAACAACTAAAAAAACCTCTAAATAACCTAAAAAAAGACAAAATAACAAGAGATGGAAAAACAAGGCAACTATATTTAGATTGCTTAATTCCCAAATTACGAACTTGTTTCAGGTTTTTTTTTTACTTTTCTTAGAATTTTTACTTTTTTCTCAGAAATATTTATTTTTGCTCAGTATTTTCAATATTTCTCAGATTTTAGAATTTTCTCAAATTTCCAATTTTTCTCAGAATTATTTCTCAAAGTTTTGACTCTCTTCAGAATTATTACCTTGTATCATATTTTCATCAACTTTAAAACAAGTTCAATGAGATGCAAAAATAGTTAAAAAACTTAAAAGAGACACATAAGGACTACAACGAGATGCCAAACAACTACAAAGAAACTCAAAATAACCACTAAAAGACACAAAATGACAACAAGAGACTGAACATGACTACAAAAAGACACAACAAGGAAACAAAAATAAACTCAAAGACATGGAAAACAACTAAACCAACACACAAAATAAAAAAATCAAGGCAACTATATTTGTAAAGCTCAATATCCCAAATTACAAACTTGAGGCAAAAGGTGTTACAATGTGTCTTTAGAACCAGTTAACCCTTCATTCAGAAGAAAAGTATGCATTTGAAATCAGTTAAAATGTTTTTACTTTAACCCAGAACGGTAGTGTGAAATGATTTGTCCTTTATAGGAGAAATGCTGCCTCTTTTAACCACGTATTTCCCATAACAGATCATTTTGAAAGTAACTAAACTTTATCTACACAAACAACATAATCAACCCGAGAGAGACGGATCAATCATTTCAATTAGTTCCATCTCAATTAGAGATTAATTACAAAAGATAATCAGTTTTTACCTGACGGCCGTGATGATATCCTCTGGGATGAGCTTCATGCTCTCTGAACACTGGATGCTGGAGTGTGTGTGTGTGTGTGTGTGTGTGTGTGTGTGTGTGTGTGTGTGTGTGTGTGTGTGTGTGTGTGTGTGAGAGAGGAGAAAAATAGGAAGTGAACACTCACCGTCATGTAAACCATCCGTGACTCTAAATCATATGGAGAGCAGCCTGATGCAACCACACACACACACACACACACACACACACACACACACACACACACACACACACACACACACACACACACACACACACACACACACACACACACACACACACACACACACACACAAACACACACACTTTGTCTTATCTAACTGTAAGGGAATCAAGTTAACTTCTTCACACACAAACATACACACACACACACACACACACACACACAGGGCCGGCCATTGGCACTGGCGAACTAGGAGGTCGCCTAGGGCGCCAGATCTGGAGGGGCGCTGCCAGGGCCGGCCCTAGACATGTTGGTGCCCTAGGCGAGATTATGATTTGGTGCCCCCCAAATTATTTATTTTATATTTATTTTCAGTGATTGGGCAGATATATTATTTCATTATTTTTATGATTTAGACATCACCGTTATTTAAATAAACATGTTTGTCCGTATATAAATATTATGTAGCAAAATAAAATGTTAAATGCTATTCTTGATAATAAAATATACAAAATAAGAACTAGGTTGGGTTAAAAGCAGAGACCAAATGTCACGATGTGCTGTGTGACAAGAATACATATATTATAATATTTCATCCTCCGATTCTACAACAAGCTGCAAGTTAATGGTTCTATTTTCATTTACAAAACAGCTGCGTAACATCATAAAATCAGGACGTTCTCCAATAAAGGGTTTGAGATTGATCTGGATGAAAAAAGGGCCTTTTGGTTTTGTTATTAGACTGTGTAAGAAATGTGCATCTGTCAACAGTTTAACATTCATGTGACTGGAGGACAGTTTAGAAAACAGGAAGCAGTTCAACACCTACACACTTTCAACATGTTATAAAATGTTTTTAAAAATAGGTCAAAAGTGGGGTGAGGGTGATATAAATAAACTGTGACCAAACTGTACGTCAACACAACACGTGTGTGAGATAAATGAAACTATACATTGCGTAAAACCCCAAAATGTAAGGTTGTTGTGTGTGTGTGTGTCGGCGAACTAGGTGGTCGTCTAGGGCGCGAGAAAAACAAAATTATTTAAAAAAAATTAATATGCTTTTGTATTTTTATTCTGCCTAATTCTCTGCGCTTGATCTAATACATTTACATTAATAATTGAATAAAGTAAACACCCTTTGCACCCCGGCCCGGCAACATTTTGCATTTGCCCTGCACGATGGGCTGTAAGTGATGAAAGTGGGGGATGTTGACTTATCAGGCTTTTTTCCTCTCTGTACACAGCTCCAGTTTGGGCATCGGCCTGTCATCAGATTAGTTTTTAGTTGCTGCTGTAGCGTAAATTTAGTACAATTATTTTTGATGAAATACTCCAAATCTCCACCCTCCATAATTGCACTTGCTTCAGTTGCTTGCTACTTTCTAAGGGCGGTGATGACAGTTACCGTACGAACTGAAGTTGATGCGATTTGATTGGATTGTGAGGGAAGCCAGCCGCCTCTGGCTTCCCTTGCCATGGCCCTGACCAATCACAGGTTGGCAAGGGCATGACTTGAGCCTCATCTGATTGGTCAATCCCTCCATTTCTTTTCACCAAGGGAAGCCAATTTCGGCTGGCCTCCTCTCCAACAGAGTGCAATCTACTATTTCACCATAACATCCAGAGGGGCGCTGTTTCACTCCTTGTAAAATACTCAATGAGAATGGGGGAGAGATGGCAGCAACACACAGCACAGAAGAATTACCGAAACTAAACAAAGTGTTTTTATTTATTGATTACAATTATAACTACAATCCAAAAAAACAGGGGCCCTTGGCCTCCAGGAGAAAACGCCACTGTACACACACCAAAGAGACATTTACTTTACAGGCTCTTGGTAATTGTTTTCCATCAGTGAAATACGGCTCTTTACTGAAACCTAGTGGCAGCAGAATGAAACTGCAACTGCATCAGCAAACGCATGTTCCTCTCCAATATCCCAATGTGCTTTTCAATAGCTACATGTATTTAGGAATTTGGAATGAATCCAACAAGTAGTTGTTGATATTTCAGTCTAGACAAGAAGAAGAACATTGTAAAGAAATATTATTTGAATAAAGTAGATAAATGTATAAAACAATGGAAATAGGTTTGTATCAGTAAATTATACCTCTTTATCTACATTTTCCATCAAGCCAGCAGTTAGGGATCAGATCCCTTGTTGCAACATCTCTACATTTTATAATTTTTTTGCGGCAAAAATCATGTTACACAAGAAATATTTACAATTCAGTAATTAAGCTGTGAAATACTTAACAACATCTTTACATTTGAGCCATTCAGATGAATGGCTGAAAACTCATCGCCTCATTCTTGGAGAGGTCCACCCTGAGACATGTATTTAATAAATCCATATTACCCTGTGTACATAGAAATGTGATCGTTAAAAAACAGAAGTATCATCCTTCAAAAGCAACGCCTGCTGTGTTCAGTGGGATTTGTTGACCGTGCTGGAAAATGCAGCTGGATCCTCTCCAGAGTCCTGCCCTCTGGTCCTGAGAGATAAATGATGAGATTTTAATGATAATAATAATGCAGAAGGAATTACATGATATATGAACAATGTTCCTGTGAGGATCTGCTCACCTCGGGGCAGCACAGCTGAACTTGATGGCAGCGTACTCCGGGACCTCCTGCTGCTCCGTGTGTCCGAGGGGCCGAGCTGCTCTCATGTTGGAGTAAAGAGGGTCCGCCCGGCTGTTGGAGAAGTGAACGCTGGCATACTGAAGGTCATCCTGTTGCTCCGGCTGATCAGGTACACAGTGCAAGGAGGAAAACACATGTTTACATTGATAGATATTTCATTTACAGAGGAATGGACCAAGGACAGAAAAGGCCAACGCAACAGCAGCCGTGGTAATGATGGAAACATATCCCTGCTTCATCAACATGCTGCTGTATGACAGAAAAGATGAAAGGATAACAGATAGGAACACCTCTGGATGTACTTGGAATGTACTCATGTCTAAGAGGATAATCAAAGAGATTGTGATAGAAATTAACTTGTTATAGAAGGATGTAAAAAGAGCAGCAAGAGGTCCTTCTCTCAGATCAATGTTCTATAAGCACTTAAAGACCACCATCTTTATAAATTGTTATGTTTTATTTTGTACTAGATGAATTACGTAAGCATCTACTCTCACCTCTTCCCTGGTGTCCGCTCTCTCTTCAGGCTCAGACGAGTCTCTAAAAGCCCTCTTTCTTCTGGTCAGGAGAGTTTATGAAGAAAAAGAAGATCAAATGTTTGACACCAGACAAACAGACTTTCAATGATTTAACAAACAATGATTAAGATGATCAGATCTGCTCACCTGATCCACAGGAAGACAGAGAGAGATGTGACAGCCAGGAGAACAACAGGGATTGTTACAGCAGCAGCAGCTGGTAGCTTCCATGATCCTCCTGAGAAACAGAGATCAACAGAGAACACACAGGTAACACAGCGGTGTTTCTCTAATCAAGTCAAACTCAACTTGATTGTGAATCTCAAAATATATTTGTACACACAGAAAGATCGAAATACTGTTTCCCACAGTCCCGAGGTATACAATAAGATAAAGGATACACAATATATATAAAATATGTATATACATACCTATACCCCAACTTATTTACATAACTATATATACATACACATGAAAATACAAGAACACTCAATAATAAAAAAAACACACAAAATAAACGTTTACTTCAAAAGTAAGCATGGTATATATAAAAAGATGATGTGCAAAATATGGGATTTTTAACAAAGGGATGAAACAAACTAATAATAATTATTCTTAAAATCAATGTGGTGTAGGTCTTTGACGGAGGCGGTCTCCAGGTGCTCCTCCAGCTCAGTGTGCAGGGAGGAAACTAAACCCACCAACCCCCTGAAAGTGCCAGGGTTGACTGAAGAGTCTCGTCATGCCCACGCAAAGCCAGCTCAAAAGCCCCACAAAACGTCATTGTTTTGGATAAAATGTGCCTCTTCTTATCCCCCTCCTCCTTGTGTTTCCTCACCTCCTGGCCGGCGTTCAGCTGCGTAGCAGTTGCTTACTTGGGGCGATAAAATAATCGCCGCTCTGGTATTATTTTTGAGGACGCTGATTGGCTACAGCAACTCAAATACACAGAGGGCCAAAATAAAAAAATGGGTACTACTTGAGGGCCGGACTGGTTCAATGTTTAATGCAGAACTTATTGAAATGAACTTATTGCACATTTTAAACCTGGAACTAACAAAGCTTCAATGATTGCCTTTAAAAACAACATTAAACAATCAGTTGCATTCATTTCTTATGTCTGTATCTGCAGCTTTTCCTCAGTCATTTCTTACAGGGTCGGCTCTAGAACAAATCAAATGGGGGGGCAATCATTTACCAAGGGGGGGCACATACTGCCGTCAACAACCAACACACAAACACCAACGCAACTTCAATTAAAAAAAACATGCTGTAAAGTGTATTGTCTTTCACACACATTGCAGGGTGTAGTGCTATTTTATAGCGCACCTATGACTTGTGCATACATGCACGGTTGTGGCACGACCACCAAAACAGAAACATATGGACATAGGCCACCATATGAAAAGTGTGCAAATGTATTTAGTATCCTATCCATGTGAACATGTTTTAGGTGGGTGTGCACCTAACCTCCTCTAGGAGGGTCCGGGGGCATGCTCCCCCGGGAAGATTATTTTTAAAATATTGAAGTTAAAAGCATCAATCTGGTGCACTTTGAGAGCAAAATGAAGAGATCTATGGATACATCTCTCAGCATCCATATGAAACAGAACTGTACACAGATTTACTTTTTCTTTATGGATATTTTACTAATCACTCCCCTTTTAAATGGTATTCTTGTGTTATTGTCCTATAGTAGGTCATACCCGTTTTTCATTTATTCTCTTATTCTTTAATGACTATAATGATCATATAAAGGTAGCCTATTCCTCGCAAATACTTGTTTACATAAATGGTCACCAAACCGTTTGAGACCCACTGAGATAACTTACACTAAAGTGAACTATCTAAACACTGAGAGTCCTTACCTCACTGAGCTGACGTTATAAGATCCTCTCAGTCTGACAGGAGAGGACTCTCCTCCACCTTGGTGTAGAAACAGCTCTTTATATCCGTTAGCATAGCTAGCTAACCAGATGCTAACAACAATATTCCACGTTACCGCTCGCGCACTGACAAAATGCGCTCGTGCCACACACAGAGAGCCGAGCTTGAATGAAACACAGAGACCCATGTACTTGTACTGTACTGTATATCATATTATTTTCGATGGCTTTACTGTATAATCAGTATAACAGATGGACAGATCGCCACTGGGCTTTCATCTAAACACACAGCCACGTAATGATAACAAAACAAAAGTCGGGGTCATTGGTCAAGCAACACACCAATCAGAGAGCAGCAGTGAGCACACCTCAGGCTGTGTTTCATATAAAGAATAAATAAAGAATACAAATGTGTATTCTTTATTTCTGATGTATTTCACACAAAAAACTTTTGGTGGAAACGTTTTAACTTATATGATTAAAAAAAAAAAAAACGGCAAAGTGGCAATAAGGCTTGCCCACCCTGCGTTGGGGGGGCACAGTGACTCATTTGGGGGGGCATGGCCCGCGAATGACCCCCCATGACGCCGACCCTGATTTCTTATGATTACATTTTCCCACAGGCCAACAACAGCTTCAAGAAAACGATTTGAAAAAACCAAACATGGCCTGTTGTCGTGAGAGAGAAAGAAACATCCATTAAACTCAGTGTGCTGCTCTGTGATGCTAGTTCAGATAATTGGCATCTCATCTTGGGTGCAAGGTCATCAATGTTTGGGCTCAGGCTCTGAGCGGAGGAGACCCTCAGGATGGAGTGAAGGTGTGCGTGGAACATACCGGAGAGCCAGATCTAATAGTAATTAGAAATTATCCTGCGGGCCGAAATAAAATCCACCACGGGCTGGATTTGGCGTAATTGTGTTTAAAAACGTAGCTGAAATTACAGATAAATAAGTGAAAAAAAGACACAAACATGGTTTGCACTGGTCAGGGAAGCTTGGCTGGAAAACATATTTCAAATGAGATGCAAAAAAGTTTGAGAAATTATGAATAAAAGCATGTTGTTGAACAATGGTCCCCAAAACAAGTAGAGCTGCATTACTAACGTGCCATCAGCTGGACACACACTGATGGTCAAGGTCTAATGAAAAGGACGATATCATCTCCAAACAGTAGGAGTTCCATCTAATGTCATGGTCATAATCATAATCATAATCATATGGTCAAAATCACATGGTCAATACTTCACAAAAATATAAAGGCTATACTTTTATTTTTGAATCTAAAGCAAACATTATGAGCCCTATCCCTGATCAGAGAATAACATTAAGAGTACCATGCAGATGATGTGACTGAAACAAACTGGTAGTAGATGAATGCAAAGAACTTACCTGCCACAACACCAATCTGATGAAAGGTGGAGTAACGACGTCCTAACTTGTTCTGGGCTCCACAGGAATAACTCCCACTGTGTTCAGCTCTGAAGTCAGTGATGTTGAAGATCTGTCCTGAAGCTTTTGGAGAGTCTCCCTTGTACCAGGTGTAGTTAGCTGCTGGGTTAGCATCACTGCTACAGGTCAGAGTCACTGAACTGCCCTCCTCTATCTCAGCAGAGGGACTCACGGACACAGAGGGAGGCTTTGGAGCATCTGGAGGAGAAGTGTTTAAAGTTATTCACATGGAAGGGTGGATATAATCACAACTTGCAAATGTCCAGAGGCACGAAGCAGGAACCGCAATGCAACGCAACACATGTGAAAGCTTGGAGCATCTGGAGGAGATAACATGAACACTTTTCACATTTCATTCCACGGTGGAAGATGTTTTAATGAATGATAATTTAATAAAACACAGAGTGGGTGGTTCACTTGATTCCATCCTTTATCAGATATCTAAACACGTTGAGGGAACGTGTTAATCTTTATGTCATGGAAGAAGTCTCCTTCATAATTCTCCTTCATTCTTCTTTCTAGTAGCATCCCTCGTAGCTAGAGTATATGTGACCTATTTTAAAATCAAAACCTAGAGCCCTGGTTCAGTGTCTTTGCACACTGCCATATCTGCTGGCGACCTCTGGTGGGTAAATAGATACATGAGTGCAATGATGATATATGTTAGACTGTATGTTAATGTTATTATGTCAGTGGAAGACTTTGAGTAAACTCACACACTGAAAGAGAGGGGAAGTCCTCAAGTCCCTTCAGAGCACAGGAATAACTGTCTGCTGAACCATAACTGAAGTCTGCATAAGGAGATGTGTCTTCCTTCACTTCCTGTCCGTTCTTAAACCAGATGTAAGAAGTATGACCAGGTGGACAACTGTTGAGACACTGAAGGAGAGTAGACGATCCTGATCTGCTCACCTGCACCTGGAGATCTGAGTAACCTAGAATAAACAAAACTGTCATTATGTTCATACATATAAATATAAACTATTTGCAAGAAGTTGAAATTAAGAAATTAATTGTTATAACTCAGTCATTGTTATAAACCCAGTGTAAATGTTACCTGTGACGGACAGAGTGGTTCCAGGATAACTCCAGTATGCATCTCGGTTTGTTATGATCCTGAAATAGTACACAGCTGCGTCGCTCTCTCAGGTTTCTGATTCTCAGAGTGCAGAAGTTGGTAGAACAGCGATCCTCTACATGACCTGCATACTCTGAGACTGTTTTCAGATCTACAAATCT